CTCCCTCAGCATCCTGGGCAGGGGAGAGATGGGTTTGCAGTGGGCGGGGGGGGTGGGAACTCTCGACCTGGACACCGGGGTTCAGAAAGCCCCTGAGGCCTGCCTGGCTAGACAGCAGGGCTGGGCAGGGGATGGGGGCAGTGCTGCCTGCCCTGGGCACCACACCAGTTGCTGGGAGCAGACACCAAAGATAGGGCCCGGTGCCCTCCCAAGGGGGTCGGGGCAGCGGTGGGGAGAAGGCAGGGGGTGAGGCACGTGGCTGACAGGCTGACGGATCCAGGCTGCGCTCCTCCACCCGCTGCTTTCCTCACTCATCACTTCCCCGAGGGAGGGGCGGTGGGATTGCTCAGCCAGCACGTGGCCCTGCGGCTGCCTAGGACCTGCCCCAGACTGAGCGTCAGACCAGCCCCCCGGGAGCAAAGTGGGGCTGGGGCTGGCTGGGCAGAGCTCTGTGCCAAGCCCAGCCCCTGCACGCGTCCCTGTGCCCAGGCATGGAGGAAGAGGGTGCCGGGAGCTGGGGGTGGAGAAGGGGGTAGGAGGCAGGGACCTGGGCAGTCGAGGAGGCTGGGGGGAGCCAGGGAAAAGCGGGAATAGGAGAGTGAAGTTGGGGGTCCTGGAGGGGGGGACAATTGGCCAAGGCAGCTGGGCTGAGGGGCCCCCATAGCACGGAGGGGGACTGAGCCGGTTGCTGGGGTCTGAGCGCAGGGCAGCCCCTTTTCATTAGCCCAGGGGCAAGCCTGGGGCAGTGACGGGCCACGGGAGGGGCACGGCCCAGCTGTCAGGATGCTCTGGGTTTGAGTCCTGCCCCAAGGCCCCGCTGGCACTGCGTGGCCACGGCGCTTCCTGCCCCTGCCCAGCTGGGAGCCCCCTCCACGCTCTCGCGCCTCCCAGCCCCGAAGGAGGGATCTGCTCCAGGCAGCTGAGGAAATAAGGGTGGGGACCCTGCTGAGCTGCAGAGTCCCCCCACTTCTGAGAAGGGCCCGCTGAGAGCTGGCTGGGACATCACTAACAAGCCAGAGGGCTGGCAGGTAGGGCCACGGCAGCGCCAGCCAGGGCCATGTCCACCCCCAGCACATGCGGGGGCCTGGAAATCCTCCTCCCCAGGATGCCGTCACAGGGCGGTTCACCAGGAGACTAGCAGGAAAGGGGAACAAAGGCTGCACGCACACGCCAGGCAGCCTGCCGCCCAAGGGAAGGAGGATGCAGGAGCTCTGGGGTTGGCTGGAAGGAGAGGGTGGCCCCCGCCAGAGACCTCGTGGCTGTGAAACCAGGGGGATGGTTGCACAGCACCAGGGGGCTAGAGCGGCGGGGTGGGGGGTCAGGACTTGAACCCAGGGCCCAGCCTGGCAGCTGGGCAGCTCACCCTGCCCTGCCCTGCCCCTCCTGTGGCCCGGTGGTGCCCTGAGCTCATCCCTGGGAAGGGCTCCAGGCTCCCCACACCTGGGCCCAGGGTTCGGCACTCGCCTGGGGACCCAGCTGCCTTGTCCCCAAGCAATGGGGGGAGGGCAGAGCCTGCCCAGCTCCAAGCCCTGAGGTCAGATGCTTGAGGGGGCACGAGCTGTTTCAGACCTAGCACCGGGTCCGGCCCAGCCCAGCCAGAGAGGAGGAAGGTCTGAGGGCCGAGACCCGGCTTTGGCTCTGCCACAGCCTCCCAGTGTGACCCAGGCCATGTCC